CAAGTATGTTTGTGTGTGTATTAGTCTGCTCAACTTGCCATAACAAAATACCACAGGCTGGGTAATTTAATATAAAACTCTTTGCATCACACTATTTACAACTATTGTCATTTATTTCATTCCCCTCTGATCTTTTTTCACAAGGATTTATAATGGATATTGGGATGTTTTACAAGTCTGTGTTCTTCTTTTTTGCATTGAATATTATTCTGTAAATTCATTACCTTAATTCAACATACTTATTGAAAGAATTATAGTGTTTAATTTTGATGAAGCAGAATAACTTCTATTTACTGAATTTTATAGAACAGCACTAATTTTTTTTCAATAGATCAGTTTATATTACTGTGAACATTCCTAATCAAAACTCCATTGTCTACATGAAATATCTCTTTAACACACAACATACTTTGAATCTTCAAAAAAGGCAACCAGAATTACTTATGGATGAGACTGACTTGATTATCCACAGAATTATTAATATACAGCAACCATTATTAAATTTTAATTTTTCTCAGCTGATCTCATGCTGGCCCTGTTTCCATTCTTTCTTGTTTTCCCGCAATAGGTTTAGGTTAATAAAATTGAAAGGCTCGATCTAAATGAAAGGTGAGATTAGTAGTCTAATTTAACAGCACAGAGACTGAAAGTAATTTAGTTCAATAAAAAATGGGAACTCTTTCTCTGAAGAAATCTTCCTTCACCTCCATTTTGAATACAATCAAGATTCGCCACGCATATAATTTGCTTGGGTAACTGTAATAGGTATGAATGATTCCATATAACAAAATGGTGTGTGGCAGTGGATCATATTTATACTTAGCTTCACATGCAGAAGTTTTATCTTTGAATCTTGACTTTTTAATAGGATGTGCTGAATATTATAAAATAAGAATTAAAAAAGGTCCTAGAACAATGGTTCTCTAAAATGGGGTCAAGTCCCCCTCCCTCCATATAGACATTTTGGGTTGTTACATCTGGCTGGGGGAAAGAGAGATATTATTACCACCTAGTGAGTAGAGGCCAGAGATGCTGCTAAATACTCTGCATTGAACTGAACAGCCCCACCAACAAAAATTTCTCCATCTCAAAATGTTAATAGTGCCAAGACCAAGAAACCCTGGTCAAGAGTAAGATTCCTGAGAGGCAAAGCACCTTGTTTCTTTTTTTAAAATGTTCTTCTCTTAAGGATTACCAAGAAATTTGGATAAACTTGTCTCCCTTAAATGTCTAGATCTTAATTTTTTATTTTCCAGAAGAATTACCCAAAGAATAAAGTTCCTATATGCTACAAGTTGCAAAAATGTATAAATTGGCACAATTATAATGATTCAGAATTTAACAACTGTTCTCTAGAAATGAGAACAGCCTCATTTTACTATCAAAAGGAGAGTAAGAACTATCTATTTTCACTAATGACCATGGGAAAACTGGTGTTCTTAAGGAGAAAAAATGCTTCAGAATAGAAAGAATCTACTGCCATTCCCAGAGTCTAGATGGTGCATGGCATATAGGTGATATTCAATAAAAATACACTGAATGACTCTTGTAGGTCCCTTATTTTTTCATTCAAGCATAAGATATTCTGCATTATGCAGGATGATTCTGGTGATTGGCAAAGTGACTCAAGTTTTCTCACAAACCATATCATGAGCATGAAGGATAAGAAATTATCCTTTGCTCCCTGCACTGGTAGTCTGAGAAGATATGGAAGACAAGCCATGCCCCCGTTGGCTGTTTTAAACATAGTCATCCTTCTAGAGTTGCATATCCTCCACTACTGACTATAAAATTCTTTTAATTTTTAAAATAATTAATTATTTTAATGGATTATATTAGGACTTAGCAATTCTTGGACTTGCAAAGCTGTAACACTTGGAATAGATTTCAGGAAGCCGAATTTTGCATAGGAGTTTCTGAGGCCAGCAACCAAGCTGTATCTGGAAAGTAAAAGCAAGAAATAGAAAAACCATTTCCAATGCAGCTTTGATCTAAAGATGAGGAATTCTCTTTGACATTTTTCAGTATCACTTGCCTTGATTAGAGTTGTGACCACGACTCCTCTGCCACCTGGTCTTGATGATCCAGTGATGAGTGCCAGGAGACACTGCACTGGCTTATGTTGCATATCCTCTCAGAGCACTCAATGTACTCGGCCATGGTTTGTTGTGTTTGAGAAGCATTTGGACGCTGGACAGAGCAGGCAAATTCTATTCTTTGGGGACATATCAAGCCTGCCTTTGTCCCATAAGAAATAAGCTCATTAGAGAAATGTTACCTGCTCTCTGAAATTTTTCATCATGTGCTACAAAAACTGTGTTTGGGACCAAAATATCTTAATGGTATATTTGCATTTCTGGGAAGTATGACTCCACTAAAGCACATGATATTACAAAGCAAGCATCTGACATCTTCAGAACAAATGAGGTTGAGAAGACACCCTATCCAAACCATTCTCACTTATGCTGAATATTACAGTAGAGGATTATGGTGCCTAAACATTTTTATATATAAAGGAATTGGCAAGATTTATCAACGAGTAGAGTTGCATTTGGTGAAAACACTTTACTTCACTTGATTATTGATTTAAAAATTGCCTACCCCTATTTCCAAAAGAGAATATATAAAATGCATAGGACAAAACATTTAAAATAAATGTCAAAAGGAAAAGCCAGAAATGATTAAGAGGGAGAATATAGAACCAATGACTATATTAATAGGTAATAGTTACTGAGTATATACTATAGGTAACTTACATTTTTAAGAGTTTTTACATGTATTCACTCAAATAATTATTACTAAAGCACTATTATTAAGTAGGTACTTTTGTTATTCCTATTTTACTGATGAGCAAACTGCAGCATAGAGAAATTAATAATTTGCCTGAGGCCATAAGCTAATAAGTGGTAGCACTGGGATATGATTTCAGACAATCTCTCTTAGAACCTATGTCCTAAAGTAGGATGTTATTCTGCCTTCCAAATTTGTGACACTACTTTTGTGAGCTTCAAGGCAGGCAAGGCAAAAATATTCAATATTTTTTTCAACTGCCAAGTTCTTGAGAAAGTAGTTGGATAGACTGTAATATGAGTAACATTATGTAACATGACAAAAAATTATTAATTGCTGTTTTGTACAAGGTTCAAATGTGTTCTTCAAAATAATATTTCTCACATTTACCCTCTGTAAAAGAGGTTTAAATAGTAGCTCAATGAATATAGCTAATGTGCTTCGAAATCCAGATTTCCTAAAGTGAATAGCATTGATGGTGGAGTGTGATTTCTGTTCTCAATCCCTGTTTTATCTATATGTCTTTGTATTGCTGGCCTCCTTTGCCAGAGGGATAGCAAGGATCTGTTTTTCTTATTTACCTGTTTTTCTTCAAAACTTAGCACAGAGCCTGGCTTGGCAGGTGCCCAAAATTATTTGTTGAGTAAATTCACGAATGAATGAATCTTCTAAAGCCAAAGAGTTCTGCCCAACAACATAACCTCATGATCCTCAAAGTATAAATTATGACTACGAATTATAACATATACATTAAGACTATGAAAAGTCATTGTTCCTTAAGGAGTTACTGGCAGAGCGATCTTGACTGGAGTTGAAGAGGCAAGGTGTTGACTCTTTGACATGGTTTTTCCTTCTTTATAAATCCCGAAATCAGGGCCTGTCCCTGGTGTTTTGGTATGCAAGATACACCCAAATCGCATTCAAGCAGAGAGCTGAGAACTCTAGGGCCGAGCTGTAGTCAGAAAAGTCAGTGGACAGAAAAGGAAGTCTGCTCCCACACCGCCAGAGCTGTTTCATTCAAAATTCTCAGCCATTGCTACCAATCAAAAATCTTTAACCCCAGGGCTTAAAGGCAAAACACTTCATGTTGAATTTCTACAGCAAGTAGTGCTTTTTGTCAAGGGCTGCATGGCTTCCCACTACCACTTGCCCTGTGCTTCTGGAAACAGGGCCTTCGATGGACTAGCTGAGCAGGAGATTGTACTCGGTGCTATTTCAGGACTTAACAAGCCTCCGGTCTGTGGCCTCACTTGTTCAACCTTCTCTGTCATTTGTTATTTGCAATATTTCAACCCCAACAGCAGCATATGAAGGAAAAGATGGCACTCGAACCATTTTCAAGTCAAGGGAGAGAAAAACATAGTAATTCAGAAATGGTTGAGTGAGCTAGGGCCAGCTAGTTCAAGCAAAACCAAAAGTTACTTGCTCCAGTATTGTCTCTAAATAAAACTGCAACTGAAATACTAATTACATCATAATTTTTAAAATTTTGATAGCTGTTCTAAGCTTCGGTTTTATAGTTTATAGGGCCACTCCTAACCTTATCATTTACATTCTCGTAACCTTGAATTCCTTTCATTTCCTCCATAAATCATGCTATGCCACACTTTATCCCTTTGTTCTTCTTCTTTCTTTATTTGGCCTGAAACACCCTTACCACAGCCATTCTCTGCCTTCAGGTTTCACCTTAGATGTCATCACCACTTGTAGGGGCCTTCTTGAAATTTCCAGATCCTGCTATGCACCCCTCCTCTGGGCTCCCTTTGTTTTAACACTTACTATATATATATGTGTATGTATATATATATATATATATATATGTATGTATATGTGTGTATATATATACATACATATACATATACATATATAAGAGAGAGAGAGAGAGAATGAATATGCATATATATACACACACACACACACATATCAATCTCTTTATGTATCTGTCTCCTCCATTAGACTCCAAGCAATTCCTTGAGAGCAGGAACCATGTTATATTCATTTTTTGCCTGCAGTTCCTTTCATAAAGTCTGGCATGTACAGTGAGCTAAATAAATTGGTTGAAATGAGTTGTGTTGCCAAAAAACCATGATGCTATAACTCTGTCTGACCTTTTTATACATTCAAAACTCTGCAAGCACAAGAAACATTTAAATGACTTCATCTTAGAACTTCTAAGAATGTAATCTTTTGTTATTTCTCTTTCTTTTCAGAAACCTCTTTCTGAAGCTGCAAGAGACAAAGGGAAGAATCATGTCCGCAATTGCAGCTTACTATAATAACAAGTCCATTCTCATTACTGGAGCCACAGGCTTCCTGGGCAAAGTGTTGATGGAGAAGCTATTTCGTAGCAGCCCTGACCTGAAAGTCATTTACATCCTTGTGAGGCCCAAGTCTGGCCAGACACTGCAGCAGAGGGTTTTCCATATCCTAAATTGTGAGGTATGACTGATGGAAAGAGCCTTAGGGCAAGGTGACTCACCATGTTTTCTGATAACCTCAATTGCAAGTGGGGGCCAGGGTTTCTGGGCAGATGAAGAAGAGGAGACAAAACAAGAGGCCAACTGGCTGGTCATGGGAATCAATCTGTGGTGTTTTTCCATAAGAGAGAAAGGAGTGCTTAGGCTCTGTCCAGGGTGGGTGAGCAGATAGTCTATGTTCTGGAAATTACTAAGAATCAAAATGCTAAAACTCTCAGAGTGGAATCTCCAGGCTTGCAACCTATATCACGAGTTCACCTGAACACTTCCCTCATTTTCTTCTAAATTTAAGATAGTCTTCTTCCAACTTTCTGGAGATATTATACTATATTATATTACATTATACTATATATGGAACGGATATGATTACTAAGTAGCCATGCAATAATAATTTCAGTTGTTTAAACTCCACAAAGTTTAGCTGTTATATACTTTATATGTGGTAAATTGATAATTCTATTATCCTATTATCCCATTGTATTTCTATTATTCCATAAGTTTTTCTAAGAGAACAACTTTGAAATGAAATATTCATGTGTGAATGAGCATTTGTGTAGCAAACTCTCTCATCCCTCCAAAAAATATTATGTATGTCCTGTCATGATTTAATTTATAAATTTGAAGGCAGTATAATTTTGGGTCTCAAACATGTTAGCTCAATTTGCTTATCAATTTGCTATCACTTTACCTCTCAAGCTCCAGTTTGCAACATTTAAAATAGAAAAAAATAATGTCGACTTTCCAGGATTGCCTTAGGAGTTAAATGAAAAAAAATGCACATATCTTGTTCATAGTCCCCTTTGGAATATAAAGGGTCGCTTAGGATTGGCACAAAGGACAGTTTAAATAAGGTATATATTTTACAAAGTCTCCTTTCCAGTGTATAGGAATACTAACATCTAATGTGTACCTCGGAGCACAGCACATTATAGATGCCCAGTAACCCTCATGATCACATTCATCTACTGGCACCAGGATGAGACTTGGGTACAAACCTTCATCAAGAGCATCAGAAAAGCCTTTTCTCTGTCTCATGGTCTGACTCAGCAGTGGACAATCAGAACTGACAGTTACTAGGTACTTTACTACACAGCAAACACTATTTAAAGGGTTTTTCATGCCTTAACTCACTGATTTTTGCAACAACCCTGTGAAGTAAGAGCTATTAATATCCTCATTTTTATAGATGGCAAGACTGAGATCTGAAGTGTTAACTTACCAAAGATCACTCAGCTAGTAAACGGGAGAGTCAGACTTCAGACCCCCACATTCTGGCTCGAGGGCTAATATAGTTATCTTTACCCCTATATTTGGTTGCATTATAACTAATGGTTCTTAAGAATAAGACCCCAAAGGCTGATGTGGCGTAAAATCGAAATCTAGGAGAAACTCAGATCCCTCTTCAGACAGCTTTGCTCAGTTATAGATCCCTAGTGGACTTAGTTTTCATCACCTAGTAGACATTGCTCTTTAGCTTTATAGCCAGTTGATGGATTTCTAACCCCCTTAATATAGTGTTCTTAAAGGTAGATTAATAATATCAGGTACGTGGAGCTTGGATATTTTTTCTTGAAAACATAATAAATAAAAATGTTACTAGTTTGCCTTTGATTCCCACTATGTCTTCAGGAAATATGGTCAAGAGAACATCTGTTCTACCTATAAAAATTCATGCATCTGCTTCATTCCTTTCCTTTCATGGTATGGATAGTTACTATCTCTCACTTCCTGTTTCCATGCTTTCAAAAGGAGACAATTAATTCAAAATGCTTTGAAAAGAAGGATATTTTTAATCCATTGGCCACATAAAATTGAGGCTTAAGAATCAGAAGAGAAGATTCCTCTTATCACATATGACTAAGTTTCTCAAGTATTTTCAGAGCACTTAAATGAATATATCAATGGAGGGAAAGGTATCTGAATTGATAGTCGATTCTCGAGGACTTTCTCTCAAAGATAATTAAGGTAGCTCTCTAAGAAAACAACCAGAGACATGCACAAATACTGTACAAATATATTTATTGTAGTATTATTTATAGTAGCAAAAACTGGTACCAATCCAAATGGACTAGTATGTAAGTATTAAAACTCATATTTTATAAAATATTAAATGACATGAGAAAACACTTGTGATATAATCAATGCAAAAAAAAAAAAGAAGACACAAAATCATATTCTGTATAATCTTAACTAATGGCCCTAAATGCTGATGGGATCTTGAATTAATTTTATTTTTTTGGCATTTCTAAATTTTCATACTACAATTATAATGAGATTGTTTATCTTTATGGTGAGAAAAAAAGCACCCTCTTGCAAAGTGAAAAAAGAAAAATTGTAATCTTTTTCTAAAATTTTCCAAATACAAATACAATGAACTTGTTTCACTTTTATATAGGGGGAAAATACCCACTTTTTAAAATAGTAAATAAATAAAGCAGCAAAAGAAATTATGAATTTCCAAAATTTATATATACATTCAGTTCATTTTTAGTTTTGAAATTATATATCGAAATTAAATGGTTTGACTTATTTTTTTTATTGGAAACATAATTCCAAGTATAAAACCTTTTAGTTTCTTTCACAAAATTTAAGAAGCTTCTGAGGAAAGTGAGCCAGATTTCATGTGTTGAAATGTGAACATGTTAACCACAGCCCCATGCTGTTCAACTTGCGGGTGCCCAGGGTTCCTAAGCTGGCTGCGTAGTCTCTTATTTATAAAAAAAAAAAATGTGCTCATTTAACTATGAATCAACCAGTTTCCATCTTAGCTGAAACAATTTTAGATAGAGAAATTGATATTTTTATCTCTTTTGCTATCTTGAATATGATTTTGCTTAACAAGACATGGCCGTTTCCCACAATAACAGGTAAGTAGTTGCAAGTAAATAATTTAGTTGTGAAATTCAAAGGAATGTTGAGAGTATTTTGAGGTTCTTTAGTGCTTTAACGATATGTGTGTGTGTATGTGTGTGTGTGTGTGTGTGTATGTATATATTTTTTTTTACAACAATCATTCTCCATCATGTGTATCTACTTAGGATGTTAAACTGGTTGTAATCTATTCTAAATAACTCTTAAAGAAAACATCAAGAAAACAATATCCATACCTGAAAAATAGACCCTAGGTAGTTGAAATATTATGACTGAGGTAGTTAATTAAGAGGGATTATTAAGTCAGAATATAAAACATGTTTCATTGAGAGAATACCAAAAATGGTTGGACTTTTCCTACTAAGCTATAGTAATCAGATAAGCGAAAGGTTACAAAGAGATTATGCTGGATTTAGAATACATCATCTAAGAAGACCAGGCACAATTAAAGATTTCCAGGAAGGTCCTAGCCTGTATAATGTCACCAGAAGGTGGGTCTGTAAACATAGGCAGAGCTTGGCAGGTTGCACATTTCAAGTAAACTTCTCTGAAAAAAATGTGAATTTCTCAATAAGCCCTCAGTTGGCCCTGAGATAAATCAACTTTGAAATACCCTAGAAAGCTTTTCATAATGAATCATGCAGGGTCACACACTGGACCCTCAGTTCACAGAACTGATTAGGTTAGAGACAGTAGATGATAGTAACATGTTATGAAATAGTTCATTGAATCCTTTTGCAAGACTATCACTATAAATTTCTAGAAGACATTAGATAATTAATCCCTAAGAGGAAAAATGATGCATTTAAACAAATTAACTTTGAACTAAAAAAATTAACTTTACACCAAATAACACCTGCGAAGTAAAGGCCAGCAAGCTGACCTTGTAGAGTACTGAAGAGCACCCAACAGAAATGTTAACTTTATTTTACATGTGAAAGTTCCTTGTTAATTAGTAAAGACTCTTGTATAAAGAAAGAAAGCACTTTAATTCTTGGTCTGGTCTACGCTGTGTAAGAGATGCTCATCCCCAACTCTCAAAACTGAATTTCTGATTGACATTAATGATTTTGTTAAACCTCTATACAATGCAAAGGCAATTGGAAACGGGAGTTTTTATTTTAAGTCTCCAAAGCCAGTTGTGTTCCATTACTATTTTTATTTTTCCTAATAAACTAATTATTCCACAAAAAGCAAGAGGCTTCTACAAATTTGGCACAACTAGGGGGAATATAATCTTGCCAGGAATTTAAATTTCCCGTGATTAACAAACACACACTTTTAAAAGAATAACTGGGCTTCATTTGACAGTTAATTCAGATTAGTTGAAGCATGTTAAGCTTCTCCCATATGGGCCATTTTCTTTCTTTCAAAAAAAAAAAGTTAAAGAAATTGATTTAGTCCTGGGGATATACTAAAGGTCACAGAAACAGAAACTATTTATTTACTCAATCTCTTATTTTCTTTTACAATACTATTCACTAGTTAATTCAATCACTGGCATGATTTCACATTCCCAACTTCTTTCCTTCTTTTTAAATTGCTTCCAATCACATTATCTTTTTAAAAAAAAAAAACAACAACCCTTTGAATTGCCTGTACATATCATTAAAAAAGTCACCAAGCCATGGGATTCAGCATGACTCTAGAATACATTCAGTTTTCAGAGGTATCTTTATCATGCAGTATAATCAGAAGTTTGGGGATTACCCAACACACACAAATACATGCACATACACACACATAGCTGTCTGGTTAGCAGCTTTTGAAAATGGAGTATCGTTGTGGAAGCAGAAAGGGAGTTTTTCTATTATTAGAAACCTAGGTGGCGGCCACTACTAGACTTGCATTACCCTATTTAATCCTCACAAAACTGTGGTATGCCTTATTGCTACCACACAGATGAGAAATTCATCCAAAAAAGTTGACACCTATCCAAGGAAGTGCCAAGTAGGTGCCAAAGCACAATTTCAGTGCAGCTCTCTAATCTCTGAAGACATGGTTTCCCCCACAGCACTGCCTTGCCTACCCTAGGATATTGCTTCCCATAACCAGGCACTTATCCTCAAAGAACTCTGTGACACTGGCCTTTGGTCTGGGAACAAAGCGTTAAAAAGATGGCGAACTGAACATTGTGTCACCTCTGATATTTGCTATAGATTCTTGTGTAAAGTGAACTAAAATTTTGTTAAATGCAAAATTATTTTTAAGAATAGCAGAAAATCTGCTGAATTATTAGTTCTCTGAGATCACAGAATGAGATAGTCCAGTGATTAACATTTTAAATAAATATGGAAACGAAGGCACTGAGGCCCCCAAGAGGTGAGTAATTTGCCCCCATCACACATTTAGCTCTGTGGTTTGAATCAGTGCAGCTAATTCATTGATTTATTTTGACTCACGATAACCAACTATTACATGGATCAGAAAACTCAAACTTTTTTTTAAATCAGACTATGTTCAGTCGAATATGCTCTCTCATTTGAAGTCATGAACCAATAAATAGAATATAGATTGAGACATTATTTTCTGAAGTAGTAATTATCTTCTAAAATAGTAATGCTGTAAATTGATAGCTTGATGCTGGTTGCTTAAAAATACAATATGGTGTAATGGTATCCTCTGCCTTTTAACGTCACAAAAAAAAAAAACAAAAGAAAAAGAAACTCTATGTATGGCAGCTTACATCATATGTTAAGCTAGAAGGGTGAACACTGAAGTCATCCTACACTTTCTGCTCTCAAGTAGACAAAAGTCATCTCTGGCCCAAGTCAAAGACTCCACAGGACCTTAAATAGATTTTTTTTTTAATGAATAAAATCTATTATGCAGATTCAGTAAACAACCTTCTACAAATTTAATTAAAGGAGGAAGAATTGTGCAAACTTTAGATTCGATATGTGTTTGTTGTGCAATTAACATGCACTACAAGAAGAACATTTGACTGTGGAAGCACATATTTAGCATACCATGATCCATCAAGATTAGAAGAGCTGTTAAATACCTTTCTTGAAGAGCTGGAATGACCTTTGTTGAGAATGTCCCTCAAACACTTTAGCAACCTTATCAATCCCAGATGTCAAAAAAAGCATTGAGGATTGACCTAATTTCCAAATTATTTTTAGAATTGTAATAACACCCCACGGAAAAGGCTAACCCTACAGTGCAGAAAAATGGTAGCTCAGAAACAAGAGTATATAAACTTGCCAGGACAAAGTGTAGATTTAATTCACTTCCCTAGTCACTTTCCTAGAATTCCCAGGATGGTCTCTGAACATGGTCTTGCCTGATACAAATCAGGCATGATTTCTCTAACTACGGGAGATCGACTTCTTATTATCTGGTAAAAAAAAAAGCCTGAGGCAGATTCTTAATGGAGAGAAGGCTGCCTGTAACACTCGAGGAATAGATGAAAACCTTCTTCGGGGGTTAAGGGGTGGATGAGAACTGTCTCTGCTACTGCATTATGATTAAAACCACAGACAGATTTTCTCTGCTCTTAACCTTTCTAAACATTTAGTCTTACTCTTCTTCTTCTTACTTCTTCTTCTTTTCTTCACTATTAACATATCATACCATCACTATAGTAAAATTCTATTTTATCAAAATTGGTTGGAACCAATATCATTTTATTTCCTGAGAAAATGGAAAATACCAATTTAATCTGAGAACTTCTGTGGGGAGGTAGAAGTAGAGATTCCGATCCAACTGAATACTTGTCATAAAAGCTAAAGCTGCCCGTGCTCTTTCCTTTTCCGACTATAAATTAGAATATTTTAAAAATCAATTAAAATTCCATGAAAAAGTACTTGAGCTCATATAATTTCTTTCTAGACAGTAACTACCATTTACATTATAATGAGATTGTATAAAATTTGTATTTTATGTGTTATAAAATGTGCTTAATTTGTTTCCAATTATTTTTGTGCTGCTAGGTCATTTTGTTAATCTGGGCCAGTTAAACAGGCTGTTTGGAATTTGTACTCATGAGACCTCTGTAAAGGCTGAAAACAGTATTTCCCAGTGCAAAATTGAAACAATCATCATGTGTAAACACAAAGCCACTTTATAAGGGGAGAAGAGGATAGGAGGAGGATATGATTAACTTACTATCACTCCTTCAATCCATAGGAAAAGTTCAAAATGCACTTTTCACTAGTTATTGGAACCAACTTTTTCAAATGTTTATCAAATTAAGAGGAGCAGGGATTATACTAAACTGACTTCGAATTGCATGAAATAAAGCAGATGGCTCTTGAGTGGATGCCTTCTTTGAGTGACATGACAACTAAAACCAGTTTTTGAGAATTATAATGAAATGTCAGTGAGAACAAGAACAATGTGATGGTGATGGCGATCTTGTTATATTGATGTATATTTATATTTTATTTAGCTGTTTAAAGAAGTCAGAGAGATTTGTCCAAACGTGCAGGAGAAGATCAGAGCAATTTATGCAGATCTCAGTCAGGACGACTTTGCCATCAGCAAGGAAGACATGGAGGAGCTTCTCTCCTGTACAAACATTATCTTCCACTGTGCCGCCACTGTACGCTTTGATGAACCTCTGAGGTACATTCCTATTTCCTTTTCACTGCTTATATGTGTACGTGTATGCGCACGCATGTGTATGCAAATTTCTTTATGGTTTCTGTCAAAAAAATATATATATATATTCTCAGTGGACAAAATACAAAGAAGTAAAACTTCTCCAAAATCTCGCCACCTAGAAAAACTATTTAATGTTGAAGAGAGCATGCATTTCAACTTTTCTTTATGCATCCATAATAAACATGCATCCAATTTTACCAAAAAAAGTATTGTATTGAGAACGATGTTTTGCAACCTGTTCAATTATATTCTTGATATCTTTCATTGTCAATCTATATTTGTAATGACTACATGACATTCCATTGTACATGTATATGACATACTCAACCAGTTCTGTATTGGTGGATATTTTGGAGATTGTTCTAATTTTTCACCATTATAAGCAATACTGCAATGAACATCTCTGCACATAAATTTTTAAAAATTACTTATGGTTATTCGTAACTTCTTCTAGTATTTTTGTTTTATTTTCACATTTAAATCTTTAACCCATTTAAAATGTATTTAGCTATAAAGAAGAATAGTTTGAATGTTTCTATAAAAAAAGTGATATAGGTATAAATGTAGAGTAACTTTTTTTTTATTTCTAACAGATGGTTGCTTCTTAAACAACATTTATTAAATTATTTTTCACTATTTGAAAAGAAATTCTTATAATATATTAAATTCCATTTTTGAACTCTATTTTATTTCATCAATTAGGCTTTTTCTTTCTCTTTCACTATTTTAATTACTGTAATTTTTATTTTATTAGGCAAATATACACCTATCATTCTGTTTTTATAGAATTTTCCTGAATATTCTCACCTGCTTATACATCTTGTTAAACTTAGAATTATTTTGCCAAGATTTTAAAAAGGTTGGAAATTTGATTGAGATTACCTTGATTATGTATGTGTGCCCTTCTAACATTGCATTCTCTAATTATTGATTCTACATAGGAAAGCTAATACTTTTCTTTTACATGACTTTTATAAATGGATGCCTTACTAAATTATCTTATTGTTCATTTCAGACTTTTTAGTTGCTTTTGTTTGTTTAACAGCTATAAAATTATATAATCTGATACTGATTTTTGTGCCTGCCTTTACAATACTTATACCTGTAAATTTTATTCTCCTCTCTAATTATGAGGTTGGAACTTCAGAGCAATGTTAAGTAGCAGTAGTAACTATACATACCTTTCTTGGCCCGGACTTTAAAAGCAGTGCTCCAAACTTTTCACCATTAAGCATGATATGAGATAACTATATTTCCTTCTTAACTGTCTCTAGATCTGCTGTGCAACTTAATGTCGTTGCCACCCAGAAGCTCTTGCTCATGGCCGGTCAGATGCCAAAACTTGAAGCCTTCATACATCTCTCTACTGCCTTTTCAAATTGTTACCGGAAGCACATCGATGAAGTCATCTATCCATGCCCTGTGGAGCCAAAAAAAATCATCAACTCCATGGAGTAAGTTGGGTCAAATGAGTGGGGATAGGGGTGGGCAGATTGTTGTTTGCTTTGATTCTCTGTAGTTATTCACTAATGAGGTAACAAAGTTGAACGCTCTTGAAACAAAGCACTTTGGAATAGTGCGAGCTTTAGCTACCCTGTCCCTTCTATCCCCTCTATCCCCGGGTGGGGTATATAGTGTTTGGGGATGGGTGAAGAGAGGGATAGAAAAATCACACAGAAATCCTTGTTGAATAGTTTAGGATTGCATGAGGTACTTGAAGATACTTTACATAGAAGTGGTTTCTCCCTTTTTAACGAACTCGGCATTGTCACTAAAGGAAGTATACTATATAGTATCAAAGTTCAGAAGAAAGATTTTGGACTCAGACTGATAAAGGTTCAACTTTAAACTCTGCAATTTACTAGCTGTGTGACCTTGAGCCAGTTCCTTGGTCTCTCTGAACTTTAGTGCCTTCATTTGTAACATGAAGCTAATAATAGTGCGCATCTTGTTGTAATGATAAACTTGTGGTTGTGATGAGTTATATGAAGCAATCATTGCAGTGCTAGGAGGTGTTTAATAGCAGTTAATCAAAAGGTTAGTAAAGAAGAACTAATAGCGGAGAGGAGTTCCTCCTAGATGTGGCAGGAGTCAGTCTCTTAATCCGTTTGTCTGAGATACACTTTCTTTACTGTTCTATTGTGCAGGAGAAATAGTGTCTAGAATTTTTCTCTTTTTGCCAACTAATAGGAACCACTTTCTTCTTAGGACATGGCCTGAGTCTCAGAATAAGTATGTTTCTGTTTTCTACTTCTTTGTTCTCCTCCATTTACCAAGCGTTTTTAAACTCTGCATAAAAGTCTGACAGCAGAAAAAATAGACTATTCGTCAGATTTTAATTTTATATAATAATGTATTTCTACTTAAGATATACTCTTTAAAATAAAGCTTCAGCTAAATCAAGAGTTTGTTCCCTTCAGGGCAAACATTTTTATCTCATATAGCTCTGAGGATAGATATTTTTACCTGTCATTGGAAAATATTCAGGTCAAAGAAGAATGAAAGACATCTAAATGGACCGAAGGTTACTTAAAGTTGCTAATAAATCATGATTTGCTTAATTGGTGAAAAGGAACCTTTCAGAGTCCAGAGCTTGTCAAAATAGATGAGGAAAAAATACTCTGATGCCCAGAGTCACTGCAAGAGATGTCTAAAGCCTCAGAGTGTTTTCAAGATGGAATTGATTTTTTTATCAATTAGCTACCCTTCTCAAGTGTTGTCTCTTGGTAAATATGGTGCTTCTATAATGATATGCCCAGGAAGGGGCAGGCTTTCTTTGATTCCAGACCCTGTCATTGAGAGTTCGTAGACTCACTCCACTATTGATCCTTGTGACGCCTGACAGATTATTAGCGTGATTTGAGGCAGCACAGGAGTCTCTGAGAGTTCACCAGAAGAAGAGAAGTAGGAAGTGAAGATTCAGTTCAGTCATAGTGAGAGGTTTCTCCAGGTACTCCATGCCACTTCCTCCCTCCCAAACTCTGTCCAGATACTCGATACCCCTAGATTTTAAAGAATAAACTCATTTTCCAGAAAAAGAGTTGATTTATCTTCAGGTATTCAGCCCTTTCCTTGGCACTGCATGTCAATCAATAAAGACAAGTAATTACTACATGATATATGATCAAACTGTCATTGACACTTGTACAAAAATTGTGTCTGTCTTTTACTGCTCTCCAAGGAGAAACATTATTTAAATAAATACACAGCCAAACAGAATTATGAATGAAAGTATATTTTGTTTCAAAAGAATACATTTTGAATGCAATTAAGGAACTTAGGTTATTTTTTTAAAACAGGGCAAAGTCATAACCACCATTTATTAATTCAAAATTTTATACTCAGAACCACCTGTCCAACCTCATCTCTCTCAATCCTCCCTTACATTGGTGCTGCTGTCACACTGAAGTAATTATTCCTCCCTCTCATACTATCTACCTTGGCTTACTATGGTTCTGTTCCCCAAAACAACTTCCACCTCTGCTCGAGACATCAAAGCTCTCCCTTGGAATCCCTCAGGCTTAAGTGGTCCCATAGTACCCCATACTCATTCTAAATATGTGGTTGCTTATCTATATCCTCCATTAGACAATGAGCTTCTCAAAGGAATGGAATGTGTCTCGCTCCTTCTTGCTTTCCAGCGCCAGCACACAGTAGAGACTTAAATATTAGCTGAATGAATGAAGAATTATTGACAGCCTTAGGTGATCATTGTTTATACTGCTGCTCTGACTGGGTTTTTTGTTTGCTTGTTTGTTTGTTTGTTTTGACAAAAGCAAGAATAGATGACAGAATTCCGTAGCAAGCTGACACTTAGGGAAGTGAAGTCTTATGCATAAAATACCGGTATGCTCACATCTTATCCCTGTTTCTCATTGCCCATTTTTTTCCTTAAACTTCAAATAAAACTTACATGTTAAGTTTTGAATAATGTCCAGCAACCCAACACCAACTACACACCATTGCTCAAGACTGTTTCAACATCTCCTATATCAAATGAAATTCTCTGAAGTTCTAGAATAACAAATAGTATTAAAGTTATTCTGAATTAGTATTAATTCACCTAAATCCAAGTGTAGTTGCTTTGTTTTAAGAATATATTTATTCTCTGATTTCTTCTCTATGTTATAATTGGCCTAAGATTAAAATAAAATTATTTTTCAAGATTTTTAGGTGTCTATTTTCCTTGGAAATTTTTATTAACTATAACTCCATGGGGCCTAACAGCTGTCCTTGTTCTTGGTATTCCAGTGATACTCATTTTTTAAAAAGGAACCAAAAATTAGATAACAAAATAACCTTAAAGCTATACTCTGGGCTTTGTGATCTTAAGAAAATTACCATGTGAATATGTTAATTAACTAGATAGGGGGAACCCTTTCACAATGTACACATATACCAAATCATGTACACTTTAAATATTGTACAATTTTCTTTGTCAATTATACCTTAGTAAAGCTTAATAAAAGAATAATTTAAGAAAAAAAAATGAAAAATTAAAATGAACCTTTCTTTTTCCAGAAAAGCGGTTTAATCAGAATTTCAGTTCTGAGAAATGAAAGATTTGCGCTTTTTGCCAGGAACTTTCACAATTGCCTAGGCCTAAGTGTTGTTAATAAAGGAAATGGGATTATGAACTTAAATCTGACATCTACCATCCCTGGCCCATCCTATCAGCTCACTTCATTTCCTGTCCATCCCACAGCCTGAGACTGCCAGGCTCCAGCTCCCTTCCTTCAGCTCATATCTGAAAACTTCCAGAATTACAATGGTCCTGAACCATTCTCAGAAGATAAAATTTGATTGTGTTAGTATAAAAACTCCAGCATGTTACCATAAATACATTTTAATAATAGCTTTATTTAAGAGTTAATACTTTTGATTGGTATGACAAGCATGGCCATTAATCAGTGTTAAGCAACTAATTTTCCCATTGGAGACATTTTATTATGCAGTTGCGTCACCATACTTACTCAGCTCTGCTTTTATATTTCTAGCTTCTGCATAGTTGGTGATATTTACCTTTAGAAACTCATGTGCATAAATGGATCAGGGATTGCCAGTGAAACTCCTCTTTTCCAGAAGCACAGCTTAAGTACATTGATTTTTTAAAAATCAACTATCCAGGAAAGATAGGTTTTCGGGGCTGGGACCTTCCATATTTTTCAGGCCAACGTAACTTCTCTTAGGGGAGCCAGTGTAGAAGAAAAGGGTTTTTGCACCTGTATAAAAACCTAAAATAAGTAAGGTTAGGAATTAGAAAAATGGATCCATACATACATACTGCTTTAACATAATCGAATAAATATGCTTTAAGAAGGGAAGGTAAGCTATGAATCACTACTGAGAAATTATTGTGAGCAAAGATACTTTCAGACATTTAATTTCTTAACATGATATTGGAGAGTTGATGTTATCATGGCTGTACTATTAAAGGAACAAAAGCTTAGAGAGGTTCTTAGCTAGTAAGTCACAGAGATCTAGTTTTTCTCTTCATGGTCATGGTCTTTCTGATATGCCTACATACTTGGCAGTGCCAGAGATTAAAAGATGCTTCCTTAAGGTATAGACTGCCCTTTCAAGGAGCTCACAATCAAATACAAATAGAACAAGGCAGAATTATATATGTGGTGTGGCGAAGGAAATGGAACATGTTAAGTTTGATGGAATTGAAGGGAGTAGAAAGACTCTAAAGACAGACATAGGAGATAGACTTGGAAGAACAGGCACAGTGTGGATATGCTAGGCAGAGCGACTGGAGCAAGAAAACCTGGGGCATGTTTGGGACACAGATGTTCAATACGTTCCGGCAGCACATTTGCTTTGTGCAGGGACGCTACTAGAGATCAAGCTGCAAAGGTAGACTGGGGCCGTACTGTGGAGATTTTGAACACTATACAGAGGATTGCATTTAACTCTGTGGGCAGAGGGAAGCCATTGAAGGAGAATGTGCGTGGGAGTGGGGTCTTAATCAGTTGTTTGTTTTATTTTGTTTCAGTTAAGGAGAGACTTTGATGAAAGCGAGTTTTAGAAATGTTAATATGGTCATGGGGGGAAGGGATGTGGATTAACATGGGTTAATCTTCCAGAGGTGGAAGACCCATCACCTGAGATGAGGTAGTATAAAAAGGCCTAGAGTGGAGAGTGACAACAGATAAAAACATCTATGTATTTTGAGAGAGGAAGAAAACAACGGGACATGGCTACAACTTTGCACAGTTACCAGATTAGAATATGCATATTGTCACAATTTACTTTTCTAGTACTAGGAATTTAATTCTTTTAAAGTTCAATTCTGTCGAAATTTTTATTCCAAGAAGCAATGCCCTTTTGAGAGCTAATCCAATTTATTCAAGTTTTAATGACTCAAATTTGTGGAGTTTTTTAAAATTAATAATTCCCCTATTTGCCTGGCCATGAGAATCACTAAGTCTTGTTAAAAATACAGATTATCAGGCTATCACCCCAGAGACTGAATTAGTTATTCTAAAATAGTACTTTAGAATCATCTGGGAATACAAATCCAGAAATCGGGGATTTTATCAGAGGCCTCATGTAAGTCTTACATGTGAACCGTCAAGTTTGGAAAATAGTGTTTTAAAGTGTTTTTCGTTCAGCAGTTTTCATTTTAAATGGGGTTCATTTGTATTCCAATAAATGTAGCA